GGTAGTTCTCATGGAGCATTCACCATGCTGGAGCAACCTGACAACTCGTTTCTTTCTGTAGCACCTTGCCTGGCTCCAGGTACCGTATCCAAAGGTGGCTTTGGCTGCAGACCGGGCAGAGGAACAGACCAGTGTGTCCATTCTCAGTAATTCAGTTTCAGACACTAGACTTTCCATGGCCCCAGCCCTATGGGAATGATGGAATAGCCGACCCTCATCTTGGCTTTGAGGCCACGCCGTTATGGGACAAAAGTGACCACACTGGCTTCTGATTCTGTTACTGCCAACTTAGCAGGCAGGGGCTAATGCCTGTGATGACAGGCAGAACTTTACGCTCCATCTTTTCTCTGTGGGCACTCACTGGCAGTTTCCAAGGATGTTGGGTGACATTCACATCCGTCCTGAAATCGGGGGTGGCACCAGTCAGGTTTTGGACGTTCCATTTGGCCTCTGTTGTATCATTTGAAGGTGTCCATCCACCGCGGGACACCCCACCCTGCCTCTCAATTGCAGGAGCCAAACACTGATCCTTTAGAGGCCGCAGACACTAAGTATTTTTCACCCTTCCTTCGGTGTTTGCCTTTCAGTACTTAGAAAACCTTGACCCGACTGCGGCCTAGTGGGAAGGGCCTTAGCCACTTGGGGGTGGCAGTGCCTGCAAGGCAAAAGAGCCAATGAGGTTGAGAGTATTGTTTAGGCCAGACTTGGCAGCTCTCCAGCTATGAAAGAAGGTTAAGGTCATTTGTGGGGGGGGGGGGCGGGGAGGAGGAGCCTGGGAAAAGAACTGCTGGCCACACCCCTGGGTTCTCTACTGGCGAGGTTCTATTTACTTCTCAAAAGCAAATTACTCACAGCTCAGTGGCTAGCAGTTCTCTCAGCCTGTGGTAACTCCAGTCCGAAACTGGAGACCAGGCTAGGCTCCCCCTGCATTGCAGGGGAGCAGATGAAAGGAACCCAGGAAACCAAACTCCTAGGTAATGCTCCACACATAGCCCAGAAATGCACTTTCTACACTAGAAAATGGAGTTCAAGAGGCCCGGTACAAAACATAGCCATTAGCAACACAGCTCACCAAAATATAGATATGAAAAGTTTCCCGTGTAGTTTTTTTTCCAGAAGAGTCCTAGGAAGGCATCTCGGTTGACGAAGGTGAGCCATTGTCTCTACCTCCCTCCCCCTCAGTCAATAGAGGAATACTGATTATTCATTCATTCCTGTCCCTGACCCAAATATTAACAAGCACACTTAGCTCGATGAACACTTGGTTGAAATTCTTGGGACAATTTTTACCTTATGCCGAATACGACAAAAACAAATCTTGCCTGCTGAGCTCCGCAGCTAGCTTCAGTTACTCCTGGGGTCCTCTGCCCCAGGGAGGAGGGCCGCAGCTGTGGGACCCCACTTGGACATTCTTTCCTGCCACTCGACACTATTTTAAACTTTCTCAGGTTTACCTCTTTCCCTCTCTTCCTTTTGTTCCACACAACTAAGAATCTGCACAGGCTATGCCAAGAACCCTGTGGGTGGGTGCGCTCAAACCACTTTCCTCAGCTGTAAAATGGGAGCCAGAATACTGACTTGCAGGCACAATCCTTGCAGGATTACTTGATGGGCTACTTCGGGTACACAAGTAGGTACGCACTAGAAAACTGATGTTTCGAGTTTCACTTCTAAGTGTCCACAACAATGGCATTTTCTCTGCTACTGCTTCTGGTCTCTCCACTGTTTCCCCAAGGAAGGAGATGAACAGAGACGCTGTATATGGCAACATTCGCCTCATAAAAGTAATTGCATCTGGCCAACATCTACAGTTTCATTCAACAACTCCTTAAGTGGTCACCCTGTGTCGTAGGACCCGGATGTAGCAGTGACCAAAATAATAATGCCCTCAGAGAGCTTACATTCTAGTGGGAGACGACAGGTGAGTAAAATATACGGTTGACCCTTGAACAACAGAGGGTTTGAACTGCACAGGTCCACTTAAACAGATTTTTTTCTGATACAGTGCAGTACTATAAATGTATTCTCTCTTCCTTATGATTTCCCTAACATTTTTTTCCCTCTTCCTTACTTGACTGTAGGCATACTGCATATAATACAGATAACATACAAAATAGGTGTTGATCTACTGTTCATGTATCAGTAAGGCTTCCGGTCAACAGTAGGCTATTAGTGTAGGTTTTGGGGGAGTCAAAAGTTATACATGTATTTCTGGGGGGTGCCTGGCTGGCTCAGTCAGTAGAGGATGTGACTCTTGATCTCAGGGTCATGACTTCACGCCCCACGTTGGGGGTAGAGATTACTTAAAAAACAAAAAGTAAAAATAAATAAAAGCAACATTTGTAAAATTTGAAAAAAAAAAAAAAAGTATTTTTGCCCGGGCAGGGTGTTGGCAGCCCTGGCCTCCACACCGTTCAAAGGGCAACCGTACAACAGGCCGGACGTAACAAGGGCTACAAAGAAGAATAAGGCAGAGAGGGAAATAAGGCAGGGGGGCAGAGACTGCTATTTTAAATAAGGTGGCTAGGGAAGGTTCACCGACACAGCATTTGAGCGAAGACCCGAAGAAGAGGACTTCAGTCACAGAGTTATCTGGTCGAAGAGTATTCTGGACAGAGGGGACGGTAGATACGAAATCCCTAAGGTGGAAACATTCCTTTGTGGGGGAGTGAGCAATGGGGAAGAGAAAGGGGGCCCAGAAACCTAACAGCAAGCCAGACGACCAAGGGTCTCGCAGGTCATTTATAAGGATCTGGACTTTACTCCGAGTGAGAAGACTGAAGGATTTTGATCTTAGGTTTCAAAGGGAGTGTTCTGGTTGCTAATGTCAAGAATAGGTTCAACCAGGCAAAGCAGAAACAAGGAGGATATTTCAAGAATTTAAGAATGATAGGATAGTGTCTTGAACTACAGTGGTAGTGGCCCGGCTGAGGGTTCTTTTTTGGAGAGGGCGAACAGACTGGATGTGGAAATGAAAGTAGTTTTTTGTTTTGTTTTGTTTTGCCAAGCAATGGAGTTGTTGTTTCCTGGGGAAAGGATGGGAGAAGCAGGTTTCTAGGGGAAGATAGGGCATTCTAGCTCGGGAGTGTTCAAATGAATCTTCCACACAGTTAAGTTGGAGGCTGCCTTGAGATAAATGCTTGTCTTACTGTTAAAAATTTCTTAGAAAAGGGGCGCCTGGGTGGCTCAGTCGTTAAGCGTCTGCCTTCGGCTTAGGTCATGGTTCCGGGGTCCTGGCATGGAACCCCGCATCGGGCACCCTGCTCAGCGGGAAGCCTGCTTCTCCCTCTCCCCCTCTCCCTGCTTGTGTTCCCTCTCTTGCTGTGTCTCTTGTCAAATAAATAAATCTTTAAAAAATTTCTTTTCTTAGAAAAGCAGATATCCTCCCTTAAGCCAACTATTTCAAAAAAAATTTTTTTTTCTAGACTATCATCAAAATTTCTTTGGCTATTTACACCCATTTTATTTCAAGAGGCTAACAGCCTTTTATGCCGAGAACTTCCTCTTGCAGGTGAAATCATCGCAGATGCTTTCTTAAATTTACTTACACTGTGGAAGGTAGAGCGGAATATGGTACAGAAATGACAGGGCCCAGGATGCCACCATTCAGGGAAGAGGGCACACCAAGGGAGATTTCCAAGAACAGGACCAGCAACCCCCGCCCCCCCCAAAAGGTCAGGTTGTTAAATCGTGTGAAAACAGTAAAAAGCCTCACAAACGTCTTACCAAGATTTAATGTACATTTATTCTTAACACGTGGAACATATAGTATAAAGATTTCATACTGAATAAATGATATTCATTAAGCCAAAAAAGGAAAAAAGGAGGAATTTACATCAAGTTTTAGCTACATTGTTTGAAATACAAATATGCAGATTTTATCACTGAAAAAATCTCAATTGTGTTTCTTCATCAGGAACTTCAACTGAACCTAGAACTTTTTCACACCTCGATTAGAAAGAAAACAAAACAAAACAAAAACCCAGAAAAAAATAAACTATAAGTTGATTGGCTGCTGAGACAGCAAGGACTTTTTACAGAGACCTGTACAGCGTCGTGCCAAGAGGGGCGACGTCTGGCAAGAGATTAAATAGCTGTGTCTCGCTTTGTGCAGGTCACCAACTTGTTAACTCGTCATACTATAAAGGGGCGGCTGGGAGGGGGACCAAACTGTGGGGATCCAAGGGTATGTGCAATGTACAACGTCATATATATACACACGTGGCAGCGCAGCCGCTGCAGCTAAAGGTTAAAACCAGTTCTAAGAGGTGATCTCAGGGTTATTCATACAATCAAGGAGGAGAGAAAGAGGTCAGGGTGTTGTAGGTTCACACATGATACTTTGGGGGAAAAGCCTTTTTTTTTTTTCTCCTCAACATTTAACTAAAAACATTTTTAAAAACTACAGCTTGCTGCTGACCCAGCGTTTTCTCTTGTTTCCATGTGAGACATTATTATTACAGTATGTTTACAGTATCAGGTGTACAGTACAGTACATGAAAGGGTCTACACTCTACTGCACAGGCCTCTCCAGTGAACAGGGTCTGTCCACAACTGCGAACTTCTCGGCTCCTGCAAGATTGTGAATGTACAACAATAAACCACACACAGTTCAGCAGTCACCTTTTTTGTCCTTCAGAGGTTTTTTTTTTTGTATTTTTTTCCTTTTTTTTTTTTTTACCATTAAAAACAGTTATGAAATGTGGCATCCCATTGATGCAAGGGCCGGGAAAGCCATTTTTATTTTATTTTATTTTATTTTTTTTTCCCCAAACTCACTGTAAACGACAGTAACTTTGGTTAAAATAAAAAAGTCTTCTATGTAGGCAGAGCTTTGTCTTTTCAAATAGGGTGGGGTCCTGAGGGGGTAAGGTGAGGACAAGGAACAGAA